ATAAAAGAAACGTAAAAGAAAAAACATGACATAAAACAAAAGCAAACAAACAAAATTAAATAAAATAAATACCAACAAAAAGAAAACGCTCCTCCTGTGATTCTTACCAAAGCAGTCATAATGCCGCCATTATTCCCCCCTTCTCACAGTTATATTTGTTCAGACAACCAGCCCACATCATTTATTTAATGCCAACACAACATGAAATCTGAATCAAACATCAGCTTTTGCCCTTCACATAACGGCCACTGGGCACGAACGTCTGCCTGTGTTAAGAGATTAACTGAGAACTAGGCCATTAAGCGATCGCCATTTTGATTATTTTAGAATAAAAACAATTTGTGTGACGACGCGGTGGAATCAGCGCTAGTCAGTTTTTGGGCAAATAGAGTTTTTGCTATCACTTTAAAGCTTTTTCATTCATCTTGCTTTAGATGAAAGAAACGCCCATCTGTCTTGAATAAAAGTAGAGATAGTTGCGATTGAAAGAGGTAAGGATCGACTGGTTTCAGAGGTAAAATTAGCGAGAAAATGACCGCCAAAATGCGGCAACTTCCATAAATTGAGAGTCTTTGAAAACAGAAAACTTGCAATATTTGTGCCTGTAATCAATGTTTTTCTGAAAAAATCCACACCGAAATATGTTTTTAATTAGACGTATAAAGTGTTGAACCAAAAAATACAAATTCGATAAAAATTGCCAAACTGGCTAAAAATAGTTGCCGGTTTCTCCGATTTCACTATTTCGAAGAGCATCTGATTCCACAAGGGCGTAACTCGTTTGTTAGTTTTCCCATGTGCAGCTCAGGCGAATCACTGTATTGATGCTCTCACGGGTTTATTCAAATGAAGCAGAGTGCTCGGTATGATGTTTTGTCTCTGGGAAAGGTACTATATTAAGACTTTACAGGCATTTTCTCATTGGCCTGGGTCCTTTCGGAGATGGCGTTGAATTCGTAGGTCCTGCCTCTTAAAACCTTACAGTGTTGAAAGGTGGCGTTAAACCTATGCAATTTCAAATAAGAGAGTTAGAGAGAGATACAGAGCTCCCCCTCCCCCCTCCTTTCCTAAAGAGAGAGAGAGAGAGAGAGAGAGAGAGAGAGAGAGAGAGAGAGAGAATGAGCCAGAGAGCCAGAGAGACAAAGACACATCGATTGGGAGTATTTTGGATGGAGGAAAGTTTAGCCATAGTAATAGTAATAATATTTATTATCATTTCATTCAAGAATTTTCCTCAGGATTTCCTAAATAACTTCCTCATAGACAGCTGTCATTGTTTACCGCTTGTTGTGGTTGTTTTTAACCTTTGACCTTCCCCGGAGCGGGTGTTCTCTGTCCTACAAATAGGTCAGTGTGAGTAAATTATCATGTCTATAAATAAACTATTGTTAATGGTTCAGTTCTTGCGTCATGCGATGTGCAATGTGGGAATTCCCGAAGTTACCTAATTATCTCCGCGTGAAGACCAGGAATTTGTTTTCCCTGTTCAGAGAGAGAGAGAGAGAGAGAGAGAGAGAGAGAGAGAGAGAGAGAGAGAGAGAGAGAGAGAGAGAGAGAGAGAGAGAGAGTTTTTTCTGGTTCTTTTGGAAAGATAATTAAAACCATGACGACAACAGAGCTTGTCAGTGTATGCGATGCACAGATTTGGGTCAGTAAAGATTTTTGGGTCTGTAGGGGTTTGGGTCTGCGCTTTGCACAAATGACGCGCGTTCAATTCCACGTAGTGGGTGTTCAGCGGGAGCTCTGGTGTGGTTTGCTCATTATGTCATATGTCAAAGATCTACAGCAGTACATTATATTATCCTCATTCTATTCTTTGTAAGTTAAGTTACTCTGCTCTCTAGTAATATCCCCGATCTTCGGCGTATTTATATGACCTCTTTGTATTGTAAGTGCCGTAAAAGTTCCAAAACAATCGAAACAAATTAGGGATATCGGTATAGATGGTGTAGGTGGTAAAAGTGGTGTAGGTGGTGTAGGGGTGTGAATCTGTACATTTTCCCAAAGTGGGTGGTTGGCGGGTGCTCTGGTGTGGTTTGCTTCTTCTTTCCTATAAAAAAGTCTATCGTCCTTATCTCCCCTCCTTCTTTTTTATGTTTGTTACTCTCTTGTAACACCTCTAATCTTCTGGTGCTCATATGACCTTATGCAGTTGCGAGCGCCGTAAAACCTCTACTAAAACTAAATTTTCCCAAAAGGTGCAAGTTCGATTCCACGTCGTGAGGCATAAAATGTTGGACGGGGTTATCTTTGACCGTTACATGTACATGTACATAACTAGGGCAACTGTAGCATCGGGTGTGACAGGAGGATCTTGTTGGTAAAACACAGTCGTGTCACGAATGAACGGGAAAATAATCAACGTGTGTCCTAGTGCGAGTTCATATGACCGCCCCCCGCCAAAGGCAGTGTTACAGACTGAAGCTGTCTTTAGGCCGTTCCCAAAGGTGGGATATTAACATGATTGTTCTTATGTACAGTAGAATTGTAAATGGGCTGACTTATCAATGCCAAGCTCATATTACTATACTGTGCCAAAACAACATAGGAGGAACTGCTGCTTTTTCTTTCCTCATCATTACTATCGTCATTTACCCCTCTACTTCTTTTGTATGTTTGTCCCTCTCTTGTGAACTATTTCCGGGGTGCCTTGATAGTCGAAGCAGGCTTTATGCTGTTGAGGCTAGAGAAGTGAGCAGAGTGAGCCTGATTCCCCGTTTGGACCTCTCTGTTGACACCCACCCTATACCTCTGACAGTCTAGCACCCACCCCTTGGCGTTCATATGACCTTATGCAGTTGAAAGCGCCGTTAAACCTGTACTAAAACCAAACTAAGCTGCTCTTACCGTAGTATATGGTGTAACTATAAGGATCTTTGCAGAGCAAAGTAGAACCCAGCCGTATCGTGAACTTACGAGCTAACAACCAACTTCATGTCCAAGTGCGCACTCACATGACCGTGTGCAGTTGTGGTCGCCGTAAAACTTTTACGTGACATAGGCACCTTTCTGTTCACTTAACCCGTTCAAAGTAAAATACGCCATGTAGTTTAAGCTGTGGTAGCGTTAACATGACTTTGCCAATTTTTCTCACTTAACCCATTCAAAGTTAACAAAAATAGTTTAAAGATATGGTAGAATTAACGCGACTTTAAAGTGAAGCATAGTTCGAGTTGTGGTAGGATTAATTAACACAACTTCGCCCATTTTTTCCCCACTTTACCCATTTATCACAAGATGACTTTCCTCTTTCTCCTCCTCCCCGCAGATGTTAACCCTTTCATCAGTTAGACTTCCCCCCCCTCCACGAATTATGTTAACCCTTTCATCACTAAGACTTTCTCCCTCCCCTCCCCCTCCACACAAATTATGTTAACCCTTTCATCACTTAGACTTTCTCCCCCCTCCTCCCCCTCCCCACAAATTATGTTAACCCTTTCATCACTTAGACTTTCTCCTCCCCCCTCCCCTCCCCACAAATTATGTTAACCCTTTCATCACTTAGACTTTCTCCTCCCCCCTCCCCACAAATTATGTTAACCCTTTCATCACTAAGACTTTCTCCTTCCCCCCTCCCCATCCCCACAAATTATGTTAACCCTTTCGAAACTAAAACTTTCTTTCTCCTCCTC